CTCACATGCCAGCCTATCGTCTACGCGATTGGACCATTGAATGCCTTACTCGGTGCATATGTGGTAATTGATGGGATTCGCTATCGGTTCGCAACTGCCCTTAGTGCAGTCGACTCCTGCTTCAAGGCTATTTTCGTCCTCAATGCTTCCTACCCTCCTGAATGTGATCACGTGTGGGCATTTGTAGAAAGATACATATATGAGTTGAATGTGCCACGGGCACCACAAGAGTTCGTTGCCGTGAACCATCTGATCTCGGACTTGGCAGCACTCGAGAACCAGAATCTCGAAAACTAAGACTACGCATTCTCCAGAACATCCAGCATAACATCAGGATGATAGAGGGGTAGATTAATTGTCCAATTACCTTCCAAATGGCTTGTTCAATTAATTATCACTTACTATTTTTTCTTTTCGCGTATATTTCCATCTTTGTGAGAAGCAATTATACAATGGACGTCCGTTGTGTAATTTGTTCGAGTATTCTCAATTCAAACCAGTTATCTTTCCACATGCAACACGTACATGGCCAAAATTTTGATATTAGTTATGCATGTAGTATCCCATCGTGTCCACGAGTTTTTTCCAGTTTGAAGGGGCACTCCGAGCTCATAAATTAAGAAGTCACAACTCCAATCCGAGGAATTCATGTGGATTTTCGCAAGAATGTAGTGAAAATATCGATACGAATGAATTCACCAATAACAATCCTATTACATCGGCCAGTGATGCTCGTAAGAAACGTATTAATCATTCATTCTAAATGGCAACAACCCGTGGAACAAACCTCCTACCTAATCTCAAACCAAACCCATTCAACGGACATGCAGGTCGAATAATTCTCGAAAACGAGAATGACATACAATACTCTGATTTCCTTCAAGATGATTCCTTTTCACATCATAGTGATTATGAGATGGCAATAGCTATAGCTGAAGAGGAGAAGTTGAATGAAGACAATGATATATCCGATATGGCCCTAGACATGGGTATTAGGTATTATTCTGATTTAACCTTGACTCGTCAACAATCCCAATCAATAATTCAATCAATGCATAATTTTATCAACAGTCCCCCCTTCAATTCATTAAAAGCCAATGTCCTAGAATCAGTTAGAGAACAAGATTATAACGAAATTGCGGAGAAGTTTGAGAAGTTGCAAGGAGTGTTCAAATTTGTCCATACCGAATATAAAACCTTAAAAGAGTTCAGAAAAGAAGGGTTTTACGTACCACCAGAACAATTAACAATAACGTACATAGCGGAGCAGGGTCAAGATTCTATTCTAATAAATAAAAAAGTCACTGCCTCGTTTATACCATTGCATGTACCAATCGCGCCCTATGGGCAATGAGGTTCGAGTCGAAATACAGGGTACTGAAGAAGGGGGCTGGAGTTTCTTGCAATTTAATAAATGTTCCATATTCTGCTGCTGTGAAACACCAGCTTTATCAAACTCAGCTTTTCACAGATGGGAAGGAACTTCATCAACTAATTGATTACAATAAATCTAGAACAGAAATGTCAAAGTCCTCTCACCCCCTTTGCCAGTACCCTGCTGATTTCGATGATACGGAAGAAATTTCGAGTTTAACAATTGATGGTAATAAATATTTGAAGAACACAGTCGTCAAGTGTTTGAAGGGTGAGCACCCGAAATTCGGGATTCTTCAAAATATTTATAAACGGAGTGCAGGAACGCTAAATCTGTCAGCGGATAATTTCGCATTTACGGTACGAATTCTCGAAACTCTGAAACGCAATGACCACTTACAAGCCTTTCAATTGAACGATACTGGAATATTTGAATTCATCAAATTGAAATCCCTTGTATACAGTGATCCATGTAAAATTCATACTTTGCAAAATTCGACGTCATATATCTATTACGACAGCCATTTGGAAGGGTGAATTGCATTTTTCTCTCTCAATAATCGATTACCCCTCTATCATTATCATTACTATTATTTTTGTTCTTGTGAATGAATAGAATAGATGAGTGCTGAAGATAAAATTAGAATGGAGATGAGTTGGAGGACACGACAAAAGACAATTATCCTAGTTACGTCATCATAATTTTTTTCAACCACGATAGCACTGGTTTAAATCGTTATCTAATCGGTATATATATGGAGTGATCTCATTAATTATAGATGACATTCTGTGATGATGCACACGATTGAGCTTTGGTCAGTAATTTTTTTTTGTTTTGTGACATCCGTCGAAATTGTTTAATTTAAATTTTCTTTCGAAAAATATTTTAATTAGTATTCAACGGAAAAACCGTTGAAATAGAAAGTTTTTTATCGCGTTGGAATTTTTAGTTGAAAAGGCCCGAAGGCCAGCTGCAAGTCGTAAAATCGCAGTTACATTTTCCGTGCTGACTTTTCCCCGAAAAGTCAATCGTAAAGTAATAGACATGGGTCAGGGCCTTGTCATGCTGAAGGCATTTCAAGTGCACGCCCAGTCTTAGCTCTCTCTTTTGCTTTGTTTCATAATTCGGACGTGACGTGTACAATGGGCAAGTACATTGGGGAAACTCAAACTGTCCCTTATTTTAGCTTGGGGTCTGTTTTCTTTCAAGGCCAAGACCCTCATAAAACCAAATCCGAATTTCCGTCCCTTTTGGAATCTTAATGGGGGTTCTTCGAGTTTCTCTTCGTAACGGGAAGTCATAAATTTATTTTTGACAATTTTCAAATGTTTAAAAAATATTCTCTTAAATTAATAATTTCAGTACAGTTTAATTGCGAATTTTCTGACAAGTATTTTGATATTAAAAACTTTCCGTTAGGACAATTTTAACTTATACTTTCGAATGATCTTCAATTCGAAAGAATATTTTTATTCAATTAAAATATAGATCTCGTTACGAATTGAACTCCGTTCAATTCTCTTTATGAAAAATTATTTCATTTTCGTTTTCTCTTCATTTTATTTTTCTTTTCATTTACGGATTCAAATAGTTAAATTTTTAACTCCATTCATTTTAATGTGAGGGAATCATATCTTCTGTATTTCTATTTTCGAAATATGTATTTTAATTGAGTTGAATTCAGTAATTCAATCTCAAATGTTTAATTTTTATTTTTCTTAAATAAACGAGAACGGCGTAACAAAAAATTATTATTTAGAATAAATAATTTTAACAATCCGAAATAATGTTCGGGAATATTGGAATATTTGAAAATTATGAAATAAGAACTATTTGTTTAAGAATTTAATTGTTTAAATTTTAGTTTTAAATAAATGAGATTGTGGAGGGAGAAAATGGGACCTCCCGAAACAATTCTCATTGGCAGTCGAGGGTTGGAAAAGTCCGCCCACACTCTCGACATCTCAATGTAGAGGGGTCGGAGTTAACCCTGAAACATTGAGAGCGGAGTGTAAGGAAGGGAAAATTCGGGCCCAAGGTCATTAGCCATTGGTCCCCTAGTTTTTCCCTCCGTGCATCTGAGGACACACCCTCAGGCTGAGGTAACAAAACCACTTGCGCGTCGTTTTGTGCCTCAGTTCCACCGTAACTCTTCAAGTTTCCAAGTCTTTCAAGGCTTATTTCAAATAGTCTTTCGTGGCTATAATTTTTTTTAAATAGTCTTTCGTGGCTATAGTTTTCAACAGTCTTTCGTGACTAGTTTTTTTTGAGTAAATCGTTTGTGGTTTATTTTATTTTATTTTTTTTTTTTTTTAATTTTGGAAATTCTCTTACGAGGAATTTTTCCAAGTTTCGTTCAAATATTATTAAAGTGTTAAATTTAGTTATTGATTGAGATAAAATCAAGATTAAAATCAGCGGCAACCGGTTAAGTTGAAAAGTGAATTAATAACCTTTGGGATTAGCAGAGATTCTCCAACTGTAAGTCTTTGTGTATTAAAAATTTCAGTGTTATTGTTTTAAAATATAGACTCTTCGGAGTCATTTTTAAACTAAAACTCGTGTTTAAATTCTTTTAATTCCTTCATCCAGTGGGAATTTCTATCGGGAATTATTTTCAAATTTAAATTAGATTTGGGGTTAGATTATTTCTTAAATTCATTTTTCTTTTCTAAAGTTGTAGAAATCATTTTCATTAACGTGTAGAAAAAAAATAGAGTATCGTCAAGTTTTATTTCATTTTTGACGTGACAGTTTGATATTTATTAATTCTGAGATGTTCAGATTATTTAAATTTATGAGAAGTAAAGATTAGGGTACAATACTAAGGGCTAGAATATGATTTCCATAAGAAATTTATTTCACAGAAAAAAATAAATGGTTTACTTTAAGAATACCATGAGCTGTGAGTTATACATAGTGTTATGACGGGTCAGAGTAGTAACATATTGATAACACAGTAATTTTATTTAATTGAACATTTATTGAAAATGTGACTATTATATTATACGAAAAACGGTTGATATAGGCGTGGTAGCCATTATTTTTACTAACAATAAAACGGGGTTCTCAAATATAGGGAAAAGGATTATTCCCTAGCACTCTCATGGCGCTCAATTCCCCATAGATTTGAAATTATTCTCTTTCTAACATCTACTCTCACCTTGAGTTGAATATCGGTATTTCTGTAACAAGAATTGTTCAACTCAATACATATAAAATATAATCAATGAAAAACGATTCAGGGGTTAGTCGTCAGTAGACTCTAGTCTTGTAATTTCCTTGGGGCTCTAACCACCCGCCCACCCCTGGTAACGATGGGGCTGCTGGGTTTTTCTCGTTCAAGACCAACGTTGGCTCTGGGTATGTTCTTCTTTATAGTGTGCTTACGCGTGACCGTCTTCCATGGAGCAGTCATAGGAGTATTCTCCACTGTAGATAGCTGCTCAGGCTCACACCCTGAAGCGCTGGTTTCGCCAGTCAATTCAGAGGCCTCGGAAGAGGACAACTCGAGTGGGAACAACCTTTGGATAGGCCTTGTCAGGGTCTGAGTCGCCGTTTTCACTGGAACCACCCTGACAACACCGTCTTTTCCCGGAAAAACCTCAATCACTCTAGCCAGAGGTCAATCCAGACGTTTTGTGTTGTCAGAACCGACGAACACCAGGTCCCCCTCTTTGAGGCTGCCGTTCAATCCCTTCTCGAAACTCCTTCGAGCTAGCTGCCCGAGATACTCAACACGGAAGCGTTCGCGAAGTTCATCCTTGAGTCTTTGTCGATATCGTAGGCGTCTTCTCAGGGCCTGGGCATCGACCTGATCCAGGTCGGCGACTCCGTGTAAACGGAGATCCCTAAGGAACATGTCTGGGGAAAGTGGGATCAGTTGCTCTGGGTCCTCGGCCAAATACGTTAATGGACGAGAATTAATCACAGCTTCACAATCGCACAATGTCGTCTGGAGTTCTTCATACGTCAGGGATGTTTTCTTCAGGGTCCTCTTCAGGAGATCTTTGGTCACTCGTACCAGGCGCTCCCACCATCCTCCCCACCAGGGAGCCGAGGGTAGATTAAAGCGCCACTCGATCCTCTCCAACACTCCGCGGGCGACGACCTTTGCCCAGTCTAGTCCTCGCAGTAGATTGTGCGCCCCCACGAAGTTGGTGCCATTATCGCAGTAAATGATAGCTGGGCGTCCCCTGCGAGCAATGAAACGTCTTAGCGACTCCAAGAATGTATCGGTGGATAGTGACGTGACTAGTTCCAGGTGTACGGCTCGGAAAACAGCACACGTGAAGAGAACTACCCAGCCCTTATCACCATTCCTGAGATACAAGGGTCCAACTAGATCAACCCCAATCACCTCAAATGCCACAGCATCTCTCACCCTCGCTTCCGGCAAGGGAGCAGGCACAGCTTCTAGTCGTTTGACAGTGTGACGTTTGCACACGATACAGCGACGAACGATGGATTGTACTGCCCTTCTGCAGCAGAGCACCCAGTACTCTTCTCGAAGCTTGTTCATGACGTAGTCGATTGGGCCATGATTTAGAACAAGATGCTGGAGATAAATAAGCTTCTGTACAAGAGGATGTCTGTAATCCAGGACGATCGGGAGACGAAAACCCAACTCATCGCTCCTATTGGAAATCAAAGACTTCAGACGTATGAGTCCATCAGAGTCGACGAAGATTGTCATTCCTGCGAGACGTGGATCGCCTGCACCCGCAAAACTCTCCTCCTGTACCAATTTAAAAAGCGTTAGTTCGGCTTTTCTTACCTCTTCCAGGGAGAGTGGCCCACTGATGCAAATTCTTCGACGATTTCTACAGTTACCGACAAAACGTTGTATCCAGGCCATGCGACGGACGATCTGTGTGTACCGAGAGAGCCTGGACATGTACCAAGGCACCTCTTTAGTGCTAGTCAAGCTCTCTACACAACTTAATACGTGATGTACTGCTGCACAGGAGACGCTGCCTCTCTTGGGAATCTTTCTCTTCGACGTGGTTTTCCTGATCTCTCCATCAACCTCCTTCTCGTTCACTTCCATCGCAGATCTCGGCCAGCGGTCTGGAGGGAGTTTCAACCAGGCGGGATCCTCATGCCACTTGGAATCGACCAGCTGTCTGGCCGTGCAGCCTCTGGAGGGTAAATCTGCTGGATTGAGAGCTCCGGGGACATGGTGCCAAGACTGTGGGTTCGATAATCGCCGGATTTCTTGGACACGATTCCATACAAAGACACCCCACTCTCTCTCCCTCTGAATCCAGGCCAGCACCGTCGATGAATCAGTCCAGAAGTGCTGCTCAAGCCCTTCGTAACCCAACGCGGTGACCACCGATTCCATCAGTCGAGCTCCCACCGTTGCCGCTAACAACTCCAAGCGAGGAATAGTCGGCTTGACTTTGGGTGCCACTCTGGACTTCGCCATAATGAAGTGACACTCCACGTTGTCTTCTACTTCAACTCTTGCGAAAATAACCGAAGCGTAGGCTTCCTGACTGGCATCGACAAAGGCGTGCAAAGAGACAGAAGCCACACTAGGACCTCCTCCAAAAGACCAACGTGGAATTTTTAATTCCCCGAGCCAGGAGAGTTCGTCGAGCCAGTGGTTAAACACGCTTCTCGTCTCTTGGTCGACACTAGAGTCCCAGTCTAGATCTTTGGACCAGAGTTTCTGGATCAGCACCTTGGGGCAAATGAGGACAGGACAGACCATGCCTAATGGATCGAAAAGGCTCTGAGTGGCAGAGAGAATCTCCCTCTTGGTGACCGCAGCAGGTTTCTTCACCTGGTCCACTGGTTTAGCCAATGCCAACGTATCCTCGTGGCGATTCCACGTGAGACCCAGGACAGAGCTCTCCCTGACCGCTTCTTCTGAATGTCTACATTTCCAACCTCTGAGATTGAAACCTCCAGCTTGCAGTGTCTTGATAGCCATGTTCTGAAACTCGAGAAATTCCTCCAGAGAATGTACACTTGTGACACAGTTGTCCACATAAAACGACTTTCTCAGCTTTTGGAGAACTGTAGTCCGATGCTCGGTAGTGCTTTTCTCTATCGCCTGGTTTAGGTGAAGATCAATCGTGGCCCCCAGTAAGAAAGGACTACTGGAGACTCCAAACACGACTCTTCGATGACGGTAAGTATGGGTCTGTTGTGGGTTTGAAGTCGGCTTCCACAGGAATCTTAGAGTGTCCCTGTCCTCTGGCTTCACGCTGATCTGCAAAAAGGCCTTTTGGATGTCTGAGATGACCCCAATTCTCTGTTCTCGGAACCGCAAGAGAAGTGAGGGGATTAGCTCAATCAAGTTGGGCCCTGTCTCTAAGCATTCATTAAGCGACGGATCGGACTTAGTTTTCGCCGAAGCGTCAAAGACAGGTCGGATTCTGGTCGTGCTGTTCTCTTTTATGACAGGCCTGTGAGGCAGATAGTGACCCTTGTTTTCGACCTCAGCTTGTGGAACTCTTTCGATGATGCCTTCCTGTAGCCATGCCTGAAACACGTCCTCGTATTCTTTCACCACATTTCTTTTCTCTAGATTCGCGTACGTCGCCTCTAGTCTTTTCTGTGCTAGAAAACGATTGTCTGGAAGCGTTGGGTAATTTTCTTTCCAAGGAAGCAAGACCTCGTAGCGGCCTTCAGAGTTCACTCTCGTCGTGTCATGAAATTTTTCCAAGACTTGTTGTTGGTGAGCTTCCTTGGAAACTCTCTGAACAGGATCAGTGATGCCCAACACGTCCAAATCCCAGAGCCGGCTGACAGTCGCTTCTTGGGCGAACATCGAGAACGTCAACAAAGCGGTGTCCGTTCTTTTTGTTGTCGCTTGTGTAGTTTTCCCCAAGATGGTCCAGCCTAAACGAGTTTCCACAGCAGTGATGCCCTCGTCGAGGTCCTGCAGACGTCCCGTGTAGAGTTTTCCCACAATGTCAGCCCCTATCAAGAGTGATATGGGCTGGTGTCCTTGTCCGATGTCAGTCAGGTGAATGGACTGTTTCTCTAATTTGTCCAGCCAAGGACCTTCCGCGATCCTGGGAATAGCCTGACAGATGCTGCCCTGTTCGTAAGCAAGGAAATTACAGGCGTATTTGTGATCCAGACTACGTACGTGTACTCTGTAGCCCTTGTGCTCTTGAGGGCGAGTCTGGGAACCTCCAAATAGAGAATGCACCATAGTACGAGATTGCTCCGCCTGATAGCCCAGAGACTCTGCAACTTGCTCCAGGATGTAAGATCGATGGGAGCCAGTATCAATCATTGCTCTCACCGTCCGCTGGCGGTCCCCGTTTACGACCTTTACGACGAGCGTTTGCAGAAAAACACTTGGGTCTGCTGACAAATTGGCGAGATTTTGCTCCGTCACGTCAGGCTTCGTGTTACTTTCTCCTGAAGAAAGAGTGGACATCTGACGACACATCAATAAAACATGTTTATTTCCGCACCATCCACACTTGTCTTTGTAGCGACAAGTTCTACAACTGTGTCCAACCTTCAGACACTTGAAACAGGCGTTCTTCTCTTTTAATTTCGCAGTCCTCTCTACAAGACTCATCTTCTTCGCCTTTGCACAAGTTTCACTGGCATGGGTTTCGTCACAAAAAAGACAGTTGACTGGGGCCGAAGTACTTTTTGTTGCCAGTAGACTGGCTGCGGTGGCCACTGGCTTCGATTCATCTTTCGTCTTCTTTTTTGGTTTGTCTCTATTGTCGTTTGCTTCTTTCTTGGATCCAGCATTCAAACCGAAACCCTCGATGGCCATGGAAATCCTCTGTTCCGCTTCTACCTCAGCCTCCAAAAAATCCATAAATTTGTCGAGTCTGGCTTTGGTGTCTGGAATGTCTAGAGTCGTTGAGTGCCTTTGCCAGGCTCTGAGCAGCTCCTCTGGGAGAGATGATTCCACCAGTGGGTACAGCATTGCTGCACACATATCTGTCGTGACTCCCAAGGACTCTAGCGCTCTCAGATGCGTCTTCAATTTATCGTATGTACTCGAGAGTTTGCTTTGATGGGAACCAGGGACTGCTTTGTGGAGCACTAGCAACAACAACTCTCTAACATACATTTCTATGAGCAATTCTTTCTTACCGTAACGGTTTGTCAAATCCTCTACAGCCTTGTCGTAGTTCTCTGCTGTAGGGGGGAAACTGGTGACGAGATCAGCTGCACCAGAGCCTTTCTCCATTGCCTGTGCAAGGTAGCGAAACTTTTGTTCTTTGGTAATCGTAACGTCTTCGTGAATGGGCCTAAAGAGACCCCAGAACAAAAGCCAGTGTTTCAGCTGTCCACTAAATTTGGGAGGGTCAATCTTGGGTAGCTTGACGCGTTTGTTGTCCAGTACCGAGTGATTCGTCGAGGAGAGGTTATGTGGTTGAGGGCCCTGTTGAGATGTCGACTCTGCTGGGGGTTCCAAGAGTGCTGAAACTCTGAGCTTTACGTGATGATATTTCAGCTTGTACTCATCTTGGGACTCAATCTCATTGCCCAGTAACTCTTCTGACACATTTTCCTCGTACAACAAGTCGATGAACCTCTGGTCACCGTCCTCCAACTCACTGGTCTTCTCTTTCAAAAGCATGAACAGTGCGTTGACTTGTTCTTTATCTGGCTGTTCAGCTTGCAGTTGGGTTAGGAGGTGATTGTACGTACGTGTAAACGCCGTTCGTAACATAGCACGTGTTTTTTTTGCTTTATCCATTACTCTGACCCCGGTATCCGAAGGATGTCCTGTCACGGTCGCCAGTTGTTATGACGGGTCAGAGTAGTAACATATTGATAACACAGTAATTTTATTTAATTGAACATTTATTGAAAATGTGACTATTATATTATACGAAAAACGGTTGATATAGGCGTGATAGCCATTATTTTTACTAACAATAAAACGGGGTTCTCAAATATAGGGAAAACGATTATTCCCTAGCACTCTCATGGCGCTCAATTCCCCATAGATTTGAAATTATTCTCTTTCTAACACATAGCGTTACACTGAAAAATTCTATATTAAGATGTAAAAAATGAAGAGAGGACAGACCAAGGATAGAGTACACGGAAGGGAAGTTGAGCATTTTATTTCAGTCAAAAGTTGACTAACCAAATATTAAAAATGAAAAACTACTGGCTCTAGATGAATCAGATCTATAGTCTACTAGCCCTTAACATTTTCGATTGATAGATTATAACGTTTATGTTTGTTAATTCATTTTTTGTGTACAAGATTATGGGCACTATGTAAATTGAAAGCGGGGAGGATGTTCATAGTGTCCAACATCTCTTGTCTGTCCATTATGTTTTATATTTATTTTGAAGTAGACGGTATATGACTGCCATTAGAAATTGCTCATGATTAACATGATAAGAGCAGACGAACAAATACTGTCTGAGCAAGAACAACCACAGGCTATTGTGAAATAATAATAATAATTATTCCTGATCGCTTAATTAAGAAAACAGTAATCACCTAGATGAAAATATCATTCCTTTTTTTTGTTTGGTTTCATATATTATTATTTATTTTGGCATTTTTTTCCAAGGTGGATAATATCGACAGGTGAATGATTCTTTCAATAATGTCAAAGCTTTATTTTCAGTTGACGAGACAATGCCCAATCAGCTGAGTGTGTTTGATATGTTTTTTTAAAGGATATAGCATATAACTGCAATCAGGAATTGCATATGATTATTATATATACAATAAGAGAAGATGAAAAAATTATGGCTTAGGAGGGAAAACGACTCGCTATTGTGAAAAAAAGTATTATAATTATCCCGGTGTGACAGATTGCTTCAGTAATCAGGTAGTTGAACAAATCATTTTCATCCTTTTTTTTTATATTTGATTTTTCATGTTTTTTGTGATTTTTTTTTTCTATTTTTTTTCGATCGATAATATCGACAGGAGAATGATTTTTTCGATGAGTTGATGATTGCATATGTAGTGTGAATCGCGAAACTGATAATCTTCATAATATAGAAATTTAAAAAAGTGCCCGTGGCACTGTCCAAGCATATTAGACATGTTTAATAATTAGTTACACAGATTAAAATATTACCTATCTGATTCTCCAGTTTATTTTGTGGTACATACTTTTATTTAAATACTTTATAGGTAATCCACTGAATTATATGAACTTGTCGTGTCCTCTGATAATTGATGAGTATTTTGATAGCTTTTTATTTACTGAGACTGAACGGTAAGAAAGGATGTATGAAGAAAAAGGCAACAAGCAAAATCCAAAAAGTATTGTTGAAACTGGGTTTCTCTTTGTTGTCTTCTGGATTTCTGGAAATTTAATACAAGTATTTATTCAATGCAAAAATCTCTGGAAGATGGCATTAGGATACAGGAATAGTTGTCATAGTTGATTGAGGAAGGATGGAGAGAAGATGAAGATTATTTCGTGTGCTAATTTTTCATTCAACAACATTCCACTCAGCACTCGATTAGTTACCAAAAAATACTGGGAAGAGCCGCTCAATTTTTTTTCTGGTATAATTAGAGATCGATAACTCCATGATTTGTATTAGTTCAACCGACGAGTGCCAGATTATTCCACTTGTATTGATCGTATCTTGTCATAAACTATAAGTTCCATTAGAGTAAATAAAAGTTTCATGTTGGGAACAAAATAATAGTCTAATAATTTGTCGTCCCTTTCCTCTATATTCCTCTGTCCTCTATGTTATGTAATCGACATCGGATAACATTTTTAACATTGAGGTCTGTCGTACAGATGATATTCGAGAAAAATATTGGAGTTCGGATGTTTGTCTATAATACTCACGTTTCATTCGCGGGACATTTCCCTATGAAGAATTCTCTGTCAACTCAGCTCAATTCCTCAACTCAATTCCCATCATTGCCCCAAAAAATTGTAAAAAATTCCAGGATTTTCGTACATTGAAACAACTTTTTTGTGAATTTTTACAGATTTTTTTGAGCAGCTGAGTAGGTAGATATTTTGATCTTTTTTCAATACTTGTTTTTTACTTCATTAAATACAAAAAAAAATATTTTTGTGACTTGTTCATAAATAATAGTTGTATTTTTTTCTCAGCTTTCCAATGGAAATATTTTCAGATTTTTAAAATTTATTTATAACCAGTTTTTGTCCAAAAAACATGAAAAATCGCTGTAAACTGGTGTTGTTAGACCTTCGAGCGATTTTGATTTCCATTAAAAAGATTAAAAATACTCCTATGTATACAATTCATTATAAAAAATAAACAAAAGTGGGTATTCAATTCCAGCACCCATAAAAAAGTTGCAACTTAATTCATAAATTCATTTTATTTATCGAATAACTTTGAGTGTCCTCTACATCCACCTTCGGTTGTATTTAGGAATAAAACAATATAAATAAGGAACTCCATTGAATGAGAATACTTCACCGAACTTGTATCGGGGGAGTTTTTTATTGTTAAAGAAATGAAATAATCCTTTCCTCTACAGTTTTCAACGAAAAATATAGAAAAAATTAGAGAAAAATTATTCATGCATGGTAAATTGGAGAAATGATGTAGCCAAATATGAATGGAGAGGGCACTCAAAGTTATTTTATGAATGAAACGACTTCATCAACTAAATTATAATCTTTTTATGGGGGCCGAATTGATTAACCACTTTTTTTCATTTTTTAATGAATTGTATATATATAAGGAGTATTCTGATTTTTTTTTTAAATCCTTTTTCCTAAAAATCAAAGTTGCCTGAAGGTCTGTAACCCGCATTTCACCGAGATTTTCCATGTATTTTGGGCAAAAATGGCGTATAAATAATTTTAAATAATCTGAAAATATTTCTATTGGAAAGCTGAGCAGAAAATGCAAATTTAACGTATGAAAAAGTAATAAAAATAATTTTTTAGTATTGACTGGAAGAGAAAACAAGTGTTTTTCAAAAATTAAATATAACTCCCTACCCAGTAACCCGAAAAATCTGCAAAAATTTACATAACATTTTTTTTAACAGGCCAAAATCCTGGATTTTTTTCCGAATTTTTTGGGACCATAAATTTCTGAAAAAATCCAGGATTCTGAAAATCCTTCCTATGCGTTTAATTATAGATTGCCAAATATATTACCATATTAATATTGAGTAAAGCTTAAAAATAAAAAATATAACCGATACAATTTAATTATTGTGAAGCGAGCAATAGCTATAGCTCGATGAACAAAATCACTGTGTTTGTTGATACTAGGGGAAGCTGTGTTGATGGCACACATAAGGATTGTAATTTTGACTTGCCTATCCATAGTTGTGTCGGATGGTATCAGCAACTATATTTCACTGTCAGAGCAACTCTTCAGTACCATAGTTACAATACCTCACAAAAAATTGTTGAAGCCTCTTTTTACTATAATTTTATAGTTGGGGAAATTTGATTTTTCTCTCAGTGCGAGAAACCATTGGGTTTCTCATAGCGCCGTGACTTTCGTCGCAGTTTCAATTTTTTTATTACAAGATTAAGGGATGCGACGGAGGTTGCTGGATGGGGAATTTATTTCTCCATCGAACAGCATTGGTTTCATTTCTTAATGTTAAATAGGAGGGGAGAGACGATTTTTTAATTAGCGGGCGAGTTATCCATTAGGTTTCTCATAACGCCGCGAATTTCATCGCAGTTTTTGTTTTTTGATTACAGAGATTAAGGGATGAATTGCGAGTTGATGGATGGGGAATTGAATTCTCCATCGAACAGCATTAGTTTCATTCCTTAATATTAATTAGGAGAGGAGGGGCGATTTTTTTATTAGCGGGCAAGTTATCCATCAAGTTTTTCATAGCGCCGAGAGTTTCGTCGCAGTTTTTATTTTTTGATTACAGAGATTAAGGGATGAAACAGGGGTTGATGGATGGGGAATTTAATTCTCCATCGAACAGCATTGGTTTCATTCCTTAATATTAATTAGGAGGGGAGAGACGATTCTTTAATTAGCGGGCGAGTTATCGGGAGTCACTGCGCCGAGAGACCATTAGGTTTTTCATTGCGCCGTGACTTTCGTCGCAGTTTTTATTTTTTTATTACAGAGATTAAGGGATGAAACGGGGGTTGATGGATGGGGAATTTAATTCTCCATCGAACAGCATTGGTTTCATTCCTTAATGTTAATTAGGAGCAGAGATACGATTTTTTAATTAGCGGGCGAGTTGTCGGGAGTCACTGCGCCGAGAAACCATTGAGTTTTTCATAGCGCCGCGACTTTCGTCGCAGTTTTTATTTTTTTATTACAGAGATTAAGGAATGAAACGGGGGTTGAAGGATGGGGAATTTAATTCTCCATCGAACAGCATTGGTTTCATTCCTTAATATTAATTAGGCGGGGAGAGACGATTCTTTAATTAGCGGGCGAGTTATCGGGAGTCACTGCGCCGAGAGACCATTAGGTTTTTCATTGCGCCGCGACTTTCGTCGCAGTTTTTATTTTTTGATTACAGAGATTAAGGAATGAAACGGGGGTTACTGGATGGGGAATTTAATTCTCCATCGAACAGCATTGGTTTCATTTTTTCATGTTAATGAGGAGGGGAGAGAAAATTTTTTAATTAGCGGGCGAATTATTAGGGTGGCACTCTGCGCCGAGAAACCATTGGGTTTCTCATAGCGTCGCGATTTTCGTCGCAGTTTTTATTTTTTGATTACAAAGATTAAGGAATGAATCGGGGGTTGCTGGATGGGGAATTTAATTCTCCATCGA